AATCACATCTGCCAGTTCTTTTAATACTCTTGGATGCAGTTCATCTGGCCCTGGAGACTTGAATACATCTAGACTAGCCAAGTATTCTTGTACTATCTCCTTAGTTATTCTGGGCTGTGTTTCCTCTGCTGAATCATTTGCTCCAAATTCTTCAGGTCGGGCATTGTTTTCTTTATCGGAGAAGACTGAGGCAAAGAAGGCATTGAGGAGTTCAGCCCTTTCTGTGTCCCCTGTTTGCATTTCACCATCTTCTCCTCTGAGTGACCCCACGGTTTCTTTGTTCTTCCTTTTGCTACGAACATACCCATAAAAGCCTTTTTTGTTGCTTTTAACCTCTCTAGCAAGCCTGAGTTCATTTTGTGCTTTAGCTTTTCTGACTTTGTGTCTACACGTGCTGGCTATTTGTTTGAATTCCTCTTTGGTGGTTTCCCCCCTTTTCCATTTTTTGTACACATCCTTTTTTAATCTTAACTCAGTTAAAAGTTCTTTAGATAGCCACCCTGGCTTCTTTAGGCACCTTCCATGTTTCCGTCTCATTGGTATTGCCTGAAGTTGTGCTTTTACTATCTCCCTCTTAACAAACTCCCAGCCATCTTGAACTCCCTTTCCTTTTAAATAATAAATGAATGAATGAATGAATGAAACGTCTGCTGTTAATGTGTGGAAAGTGGAGCAAATTACATCCATACCTGCTGGAAATGTGAAAAAGTGGGTAAGTTTGGGAACGATATCGTAAGTCGTAAAAGTGGCATGAATGGATATTCTATGAACTGAATCTCCTGTGCTTTCTGTTGGTTTTTTTAAAAACAAAAACAAACTGAGGGAGGGCCTGGAATTTGAATTTAGTATGGAATTTACCGTAATTACATCAACAGAAAGAAAAAAAAAAGCCACCAATGCTTTTCACACAACACAGCCACAGAAGAAGACTGGTTCAACTAGACTTGGTACCTGACCTCTGAGACTAAACTCAATAAATTGCCATGAGTGCATGAAGGAAGACAGAGAAAAGGAAGTTGTTAAAGATTTTAGACTCATTTAGATCATTATTTATATGAACCAGAAATGCCATATGGTCATTGATACTTATGAAGGCTTTTTGCTGCCAGCATAAATTATCGTGTGTTTTATGAACTGGGTGCTGGGACAAGTATGTTCCCTACCTCCCACTTTTAAATTATTTCTACTTAGCAAATACATACCCTGAGTGTCAATACATTTTTGATAAATTATTAAAGATTTGTGTGTTTATAGTGAACAGGTGGTATGCAACTAAGCCATACTCAAAGCAGGCCCATTGAAATCAATTGACTAATTTAAGTCCATATTGATTTCAATAGTAGCATGACTCCCATTGAAGTTACTAAACAGTTATAAACTCTGGTAAACTTTCACCTTAAAAATGTGGTGACGCCATTCCTCCTTTCCACTCCCGTTTCACCCCCCCCCCATAAGGTTGAAATTTCCTTATTTGACAGCAGGTGGCAAACCCATTGATTTCCTCAGAATGTCCTTCCCACAGTTAATAACATGGTTTTCATTGTTACACCTTCTTGTTACATTGTTACAACTTCTGCATTTCATTTCCCCAATGACACTTTTTACAACCACCACACCCTTTCCAATCATGTCTATCCAGAGGAGCATCTCCGGAACACAATGCGTTTGGCTAAGTGGACTCTGTCTACAAAAGCCTGTGGAAATATATTTTGTGAAGTCTTTAAGGTGCCACAAGATTCTTTGTTGTTTTCCCCAGAGTAAATTTCTGAGAGCTGGTAATTTTTAAAACTATTTAAAGTAGCTTCCCATAGGAACTTTTTTTGGGCAGAAATGGGAGGGGGTGGAAGAGACTCAGGAATGCCAAAAGTTAACAGGAAACTAACCCCTAGCTCATATTTTTTTAAAAAATGCTGCCACCATATATTTCATATGCTGCATAGCAGTGATGGTGCTCCTGGCAGGAACTTTTCCCACCTCAACCCCTGGAGGCAGCGGCGAAGCATATGCCCATGCTGCCCAGGGCGGGCGTGCTCCCAAAGGGGGGGAATGAAGGGTGCCTTCCCAGGCGCGGTATAGCAGCTTGGGTGCACAGAGCGCCCCATGGGGGCGGAGCAAGCCGCTGATGGCGGACATTCAGCGCGCCCCCCGCTCATGACTCCAAAGCCTCCCCCAGCTGTCAAAACGAAGGGGAAAGGGAGGAATGCCGCCGGCAAAGCGATGCAGCTCCCTCCCTTCCCCCGATGGCTCGGGGTAGGCTTGGGAGTCGTGGGCGGGCGGCACGCCAAATGTCACCCCCCTCAGCGAAGACACCTGGGGCGTCCACCCACACCACACCCCCTTCCTCTGCCCCTGCCAGGAGGCCCCAGGGCAGGAAAGGAAAAATGTGAAGCACAGTGAGAACACCCATTCCTATCCTCAATCCATTGGCCCATCCAGTTCAGTGTTGTTTTCTACCCATGGAAGAACAGCTGGGAGCAGTTTGCCAAGATTTCTGAGAGGGGACTTAACCTGGGATCTTCTACATGCAGAGCCTATCCTCTACATATATTTTTAATGTACACGAAAAAAGCAAATATTATATTTGAAATATGTATTAGGCTAGAACTGTCCTTTAATACATGGCAGGCTGAACAGATGCAGTCTCCCTATTACTGTGCTTCCATGCAAGAAAGAGGAGGTTCACCAGGAGAACCGATGCCGAACAAGCAGTTCTTGAAAAGCACAGAGTCTTTGCCAAGGGTTTTTTTTTAAAAAAAGGCAAGAGCCCTTTGATGCTGAATTAAAACCAAATCCTTAAATTGCTGTTACCCAATTCAAATGAGTGGTGATTATATGATAGTACAAGTTTTCGTTTGGACATGCAATTTTGAGCAAAGCCTGACAAAACCAACTGAAGAAGAAATGTTAATTAAAACATAATTGATGCAAAAATAATTTCATTTAATACAATCAAAATAAGATGAAACGTATATGCTAGGAACTCCCGTCTTGCAGTCAGGCCACAAAGTAGAAGGCACTGTTTGTGCATTGCATTCTTATATGACGGAAAGGAATTTCTTGCTTCAAAGGAATTGCAGAAAAGCTTATCTTGGGCAAAAGATAATAAAGGGATTGTTGAAGCAGGACAGAAGAGGATAGGAGAGCAATAGAAGCAAAAAAAAGTAAGTAATGATAATGTTGACTGTCCTGAATTTCTCTGGACAATGAAGATGTCTCTACTGCTTTTTGACATGAAAAAACCCTCTTTTGTAACAATAGTATAGCCATAATTTTACCATTTCAGCCCATAGCCCTGTTGCTGTCCATTTAAAAATTGTTATTTAATTTTGTGACTCCTAGAGATGCTGCTCTAGAACAACCTGTATGTGCCACTGGGTATGCAGAAAGCATTAATTAACAATCAATGTGACTTAACGAATTCATTTGTTCTTCTTACCAGTTCAAACCACGTGGGACTAAAAAGAAACTCTAAAAAGAAACTGGCCAGCTGGCCAGTCTGTCTTCTTCTTAGACAAATGGCACAAGCCCTCAGGGGATCTTGAACCATCCATTAATATGTCCGTGGCAGGCCTCCCTCCCAGGTAAAGCTCCTGAAGTTAAACACGCCTGTAAAGGTAACAGCAGGTTTTATCTACCAAGCAGATAACAGCACTTGTGGTGATGGTGTAGAGACAGAGTGACCACACTAAATGCATCTCTGGAAGTCTCCAGCCCCATCGTTCAGCCCGGACACTGAGGTCCAGATCCGAGAGCCTTCTGGCAGTTTCCTCACTGAGTGAAGTTACAGGGAACCAGGCAAAGGGCCGTCTTGGTAGTCACACCCTCCCTGTGGAAGGGATGAAAAGGAGATAAAGAACTATCCAACTTTTAGAAGACCTCTGAAGGCAGCCCTGCATCGGGAACTTTTTAAAGTTTGATGTTTTGTTATGCTTTTATATTTGCTGGAAGCTGTGCAGAGTGGCTGGGGCAACCCCGTTAGATGGGCAGGGTACAAGTAATAAAAATTATTATTCTTATTAGTAGTAGTAAAACAGGAATGTGGAACCAGCGGTCCTCCAGATGTAGTTCCAACTCACATCACCTCCAGCTAATATTAACAATGGGCTCTCTACTCTAACAGTACCTGGAGGATTATAGGTTCCACAAGCCTGAGGTAAAAGGTGCTTTTCCCCCTTGTTCCATATCCATTTTTACCCCTGTAGCAGAAGGCAGGCCACACAGTCAGGCCCTATTAAGTGCCTGAGGCTGGCACTACTTGATTACTGGTCCCCAATACCTCTTTTTAGACACGAACCCCTACACTGCCATGCCATGTAATCTTTGTGGGCTTCCCATAGGCATCTTGCGGGCCACTGTCAAAACAAAATGTAGGTCTAGACCGGCCTTTGGCCTTATTCAATGGTCCCATACATTCCTGTGTTGAACAGGAACATCAGCATTCATAAGAGAGTCCTTTATTTTCCCAGAAGATCACACCTCCAGTACAGAACTGGGTAGGAAGGAGTAAACAGCTAAGCAAAGCTTATCCACTCTTTGTTTATTAAAAGGTGTCTCTCCCTTTTCACCACTGCAGGTCTCAAAGCAGCTTACAGCAATAAAATATGCAATATACTTTTTTAAAAACAACAACAACCCAGCCCCAGAATTTAAAGCCTAGAGACTTTTAAGACCTAAAAAAGATTGTAAAGCATCTGATGAGAATTCCGAGTGCAAAGGAGCTGGAATCTTTGGATGTTACTCAGAGGAAGTTCAATAGGAGGCCTCACTGCCAGGTAAGTGTGCATTCCAGCCCAGTCCTACTCGGAATCAAAACCCATTTAGTTCGATGCGGCTCACTCCAAGCAGCTTTTCAAAACAACCGCTTGCTTGGGGATTCATGGTGGGGGCAGGAGCAGGAGCAGTGGGTGGGGCTGAGGGGATCCCTTTTTTTGCCCAGGTTTAGACCGCCTCAAACCAGCAGATGGCCCTCCTGATCTCTCTCCGGCGCTCTCTTTGCTGCTGGATCCTGTGATTTGAGAGGGGAGGGAGGAGGGACCAAGGGGATTGCTACAAATGTCCTTAATTCTTCTTCCACCCCCTTCCCTCCCTCCTCCTTCCCTCCCTGGCCGCGCGCATGGAATCTGTTGCAAATGTAAGGCTGGCAGAAAACGCGGCTGAGTAGAGAAGAAAGTCTTTCTGCTGCTTTAGCGAGCGAGCGAGAGAGTGCAACGCTCTCCTCGGCGGCGGCGGCGGCTCTCGCGAGGTGAAGAGGCCGCCTCCCGGCTGGAGCCGCCGGGCGCGCGTGTGGGCGCGTACGAAGCGAAGCCCTTCGCCGGGGCTGGGCTTTTCTCTGCGGGAGTAAGGAATGCCGCCACCGCCACTACGACGTCCTCCTCCGCCTCCACCCACGCTTTCCGCTTGCACCTCAAGCCAGGAGGCGGCTGCGTGAGGCAGGAGGGGAAAGCGGGAAGGAGGAAGGAGGAAAGGCGAGCCTGACGAGCGCAGACGCGGCGGCGGCGGCGGCGGCGAAGAAGGGGATTAGCGCCGCGGTCTCTGCCTCGGGGAGACTATTCCGCCCTTGGAGCTCTCTCGCCCCCTTCCCCCTGCAGCCGAAATGGAGAGGCGTCATGTAGCAATAATCTTCTAAGTAACCCTCCGGTTTGGGGTCTTTTTTTTTAAAACCTACCGATTTTTTTAAGGGTAGAAAGGAGGGAGAGAGAGACACCAGCAGCCGCAGCCAGCTCGTTGCCCCTCCCTCTCCTGTTTTCCCTACCCCAAAATAATTGCGTTTTGGGCAGTTCTTTCGCGGCGAGCAGGCGCGAGTTGTCCCCGGCAACCAGCGCGCGCACACGCGCACACACCTCGCGGTGGAGAGACGACGGGGGGCAACGATGACTGAAGAGAGCTCCGACGTTCCCAAAGAGTTGCTAGGTAAGCATGTCCCTCGCCTCCCCCCCTCCCCATTTCTCTTCCTGGGTTCATAATGGGCACTTAACTGGGAGAGGTGAGGAGGAGGAGGAGGGGGGGTCGCTTCCTGTCAGGGGTATTAAGGTGAGGGCTAAAGTCTATGCCTGCCTGCCTCCTCCTCCTCCCCCCCCCCGACGCCTTCCTCGCCCATATCCTGTTGTCTTCTGCATTAAATGCTCCTCTGGGAATGGGGAGGCGTGGTGGGAAGCTGCCGTTACTTGTTTTCTCTGGGAGACGGGTGGAAAGGTGCGGGAGGGTGGGGGGTCGACTGTAAGCTGAAGCAGCTCTGGCTTCCTCCGCCCGCCCCCCTCCCCTGTTTTTTTTGGCATCGCTGTTGCTGGAGGAGATTTGCTTGCGGGGCGGAGGGGAAGATTAGGCAGCCTTTTAACTAGACAAACGGAGCGGAGCTTTCGGCATCTGCGAGCCAACTAAGTGAAAGCAATCTTTAACCCTCTCGAGGGGCGGCTTGTTTCTCGACGCCAGCGTTTCCTCGCCACCCTTGCCCTGCTGGCTCTCCCCATCTGGCCCCATAGGAGCCTCCAACCCTAGCGATGATCCCTCCCCTCCTGTGCTCTTCCACAGACGTATGTCGAGTCTCTTGCGCGCGAAGAATGGGAAAGGGTTCTTGGATTATTGGTGGTCTTGCAAGGTTGCGTGCGAAAAGTGATGCTTAAAAAGCAGGCAGAACCTCCTAGCCTTTCCTTCTCCGGCGCAAATGCGCTCCAGAGTGTTTTGCTTATGGACCTTGTTTCGTTGTGCAAGCCAAGCTGCTAGGCGGATGGGCTTAAGATGCTCAGGTGCGTAAGGAGAGGATTGCCAAAGCATCTGTTGCTGTTCAGACTGTGGATAGGGAGATTTCAAAAAGCCCCTTCCCTGTGTCTCGATTTGCAATGGACTGGGAGCCAATATGGCTGGCAGTTCAGCCCTTGTTAATTCAAAATATATCCCTGTGAAAATTATTATTTACTGGGGTAAGTAGTCTCTTTAGGCATTTATGGACTGCCCTATAGCCAAGTCCCCAGGACAGTTCACAACAAGATTTAGTTACCTATTATAATATTGAGTGTGTCATATCAGGAAGGTTCATGGGGTGTGCAACAATATTTCCTTTGCCTGGTCCACTTCAAACATGCCATGAAATTTCATGGGGTTTCCATTTTACAGAGAAGGAACTGAAACTGATCCTCGGTATATTACTTGTGACTATGTCTCACTGAGTTCAGTGAAGCTTATTCCTACATTAAGTGTGCCCAGGATTGTAGCCTGAGGCATAGTGGTTTTCCAGCAAAAGGCAAGTCTTCTTATCCTTCCAGATGCAGCACATCTTTTTATCTTGACTATCCACCATTCACTGCTCCTCTTCCTCTAATCTCCTTACTGCTAATGCAAGTACATATATGATGGCTGCTTCTTGAAACAGCTGGGCATGAGTTGAGGGCAATCCTTTTAGGTTTACCTGCATATGTTATTTAGTCTTCTACAAATCCACTTGAAAAGAAACGGTTTGAAAAAAATTAGACTGTGTGGAGGAGCACGAAAAGGAAATGAAGGCGCTATTGCACATAATCCTGATTAATAACTTTAGACCATCCACTAATATTACCCTGGTGAAATCAGATAGCCAGATCCTAGCAGCAGTATTTGGTGCCAAACGTGTACCAGATTGCAACCCATTTGTTTTGTTACTGGGCTAGAATGTGAAACACAAATGGATCCCTCAAACTGTTTACACACACACACACATATATATATATATATATATGTTATGTTTCTCAACTGCTTTATCACCTCCTTTGAATAAACGACACTATTCATCGCTGTGCAAATAATGCATACTTCAACAATGTCTTGACACAATGTCTGGCAGTGCATAGATAGTTAAATTCGTCATGTATGTAATGATTCTGAATATTTGGATAGGAAAAGAGTTATAGTTGCATGGGTAAATAGTGCAGGAGCATCTTGGTTCGGTTACTGTAGGACGCCAGAAAAGAAATCTGCTTGTTTCTTTTTATGCACATAATGGGGGTAAAGAAACTTACCCATTGATAGAGGGGTGGGGAAGAGTTGGATATAAAAATAACAATATTTTGAACTATCAGGTATATTTGAATCATTTGTTGCCAACTTCTAGATGGATATAACGTCTAGAAGGCAGACACTTGCATAGATTCGTATATAATGAGTTATTAGGCTGCATTGCCCATCCAGGAAAACAAAGGTGAGCTGTCTTCTATTGTAAACATAAATTAGATGTTACGTTTAATATAATATGACTTACCCTAACATCTGTCAGCTTTCAGAATTAAAGCTTGATCATACACATTTGTGTGTTCTTGAAGGTATTCCTATGTCTTCAGGGTGGATCAACATTTCCTCCAGTTTCAGTTAGTGCAGGTGCCTTAGTACTTTGGGTGGATCATCTTGCAGCAGTGATACCTTGCTGTTCTGCGCTGTAGGTTAATGTGTTATAAGAGACATGATGCCAAGATGCATTAGTTAAGTTGTTTGAAGATAGTCATGAAAACATAATAGCATATATTTAAATGTATAAAACCTAATGCGGACAGTCTCGCCTGAGTGATGCATGCTCTAGTTATCTCTCGCTTGGACTACTGCAATGCGCTCTATGTGGGGCTACCTTTGAAGGTGACCCGGAAACCACAACTAATCCAGAATGCGGCAGCTAGACTGGTGACTGGGGGTGGCCGCTGAGACCACATACCACTGGTCTTGAAATACCTACACTGGCTCCCAGTACATTTCCAAGCACAATTGAAAGTGTTGGTGCTGACCTTTAAAGCCCTAAACAGCCTCGGTCCAGTATACCTGAAGGAGCATCTCCACCCGCATCATTCAGCCTAGACACTGAGGTCCAGTGCTGAAGGCCTTCTGGCGGTTCCCTCGCCTCAAGAAGCCAAGTTACAGGGAACTAGGCAGAGGGCCTTCTCGGTAGTGGCACCCACCCTGTGGAACACCCTCCCACCAGATGTCAAAGAGAAAAACCTGCAGTATCTTTGGCAACATGTTACTGTATTTTAATGGGTATTGATGCAAAGTCTTTCCTAGGAGATGAATTTTTAGTTAACCACATTGAACTGTGGCTGCTGCTATCTTGTTTACTGATGGGTGTGCAAAATGGCGGCATCTTTGTGTTCTAAAGGCATTTTCATCTTGGATTGTGTGTTGAGCATGTGCAGCAACAATGATGGTGGTATCCATGTTGTCTGCAGGCCAGCTTCAGACCAAATGAGGACCTTTTGATGCCCCCCCTTCAATTTTTGAATATTCCTAGCTTTATAGTCTATTCCATGACTTCAGTACTTGATTTGCATAAGTTACTTATCCCTGTTAATATTAAGACGATCGACTTGTACACATGGATCTGACCACAACTGCTTGCACATTGTTTGAATGGCCACAGATGCTAAAAATGATCCAATAATGGAAATAAAAGAACATTAACACAACACTAGCCATGCTGTGAGAGCTTTATAAGTGAAGTTGAACTGTTTGTAGTACTTGCTTTGGCTGTTGAGTAGATAGCTTGTGACAAATTCTTTCCCCTTCCCACCCCCAAATCTGGTGTCTCGAGGCAGTCTCATGCTCCTAAATCCAGCCCTGGATGACTGGTTCTGGTCTGGTCCTTGCAGAGAGTGATAAATATGTGTGAAATTGAGAATGAGGTTGGTTGAGACCAGTGACAAATGGTATGAGAAGTGAGCTCAGCATAGTTTTTTAAGGGTGTATCAGCGTGGCAGCTTTCCTTGCATTTGGTTTTGTACTTCAGTGCTAAACCAGGAATGTTCCTCTAAGAGGATTCCATACTTGCACTTTAAGTACCAGTACTGTACTGTAGTACTGTAGTCTGCCTGCAACTTGCATACTTTCATGAGTACTTCAGGGGATGGAGATGCATCCTGTTTGTGAGACTCCTTTTCAAGGTACTGAAAATCGACACAGGCCCTAGGAGACTGAACTCCTAGACTGAGATCCATTCTATGTTTTGGAGAGGCCATTCTACAGCTGTCAGATAAGAACACATAGAACTGTTTTGATGTTGCAATCTAGGGGGTGACACAGCTTGCATTTACAAGGCACTGGATCTTACCTGCATTATTCGACTTCCAAAATGTGAGAGCCTGCTGTGAATATGAATGAGATCAAGCATTTGAGTGCCTCAGTATCTGATTACCTTAGTTCATAGATGTCTTTCTCTGGTAAGAGGAGGAAGTAAACCTATGCTTTCCTCTTTAGACTTTTCTTTGTTTACAATGTATTATTTACCTAATGCTCAACGACAAAGGAGTGCAGATTTCCAAAGTGCAGTAGAGAATGTATAGGCATGTGTGGTTTGACTGTTTACTAAGGACAGTGGAAACATTTAGTTTAGTCATTTAAGTTTATTTGGAAACAAGAGCATTGCTTGGCAGTATAATAGTAGCATAATTTCATATTTACCTTACTTCTTAACAGTGAAAGCAATTTTATATTCTTCACTATTTCAGAAAGTGTCAAGGATGTGATTGGGAGGAAGATAAAAATTTCAGTGAAGAAGAAAGTTAAGCTAGAAGTCAAGAGCGACAAAGTGGATAACAAAATATTGGTAAGTACGCTCCTTTGCCCTGATGACAATGTTCTTCATGTTGAACAAGTTATTCCAAGCCCTCAGAAATGATGTTCTCTAAATTTCAATGAAGGGGCCCACCAACTGGGTTTGCTAGATTCTTGCTCCTCTTTGTAGGGGGAGGGGGGCAGAAAGAAAAGAGTTTGGTTGTACAGCTCGGGTGAAGAAAAGCTGGCATGTAACCTCCCCCCCCCCGACTTCATGCCTGTTGCAGGATCTCAGTGTGTGTACCTGAGAAGTAGGGGAAAGGAAGAGCGTTCTGTAATCATGGTAGCAGGAAGGCAGAAGCAATGAGTTTCTCTCCTTGCCTGTTTCAAAGCTCTGTCTTGTTAGAAACTTCTCCCACTTGGGAGAGGGGACAGTCATGTTGATCATGGGCTCTTGCTAGAGGATATTTGGAGGCCTGACAAATCTAGATTTGTGCCTAGTATTATCAAGTTAAGAGTACAGCAGATAAAGACAGATATCTACAGTATGTTCATGCAGGCATGCTTGCGTGGGAAGTTGCCAATATGGTGCTTGAGCTCTGTCGAAAGAGTACAAAACAGAGGGAACACTTCCCAAATATTTCCCCTTCTTTTGCCAAAGTCTGCACAGAGGAACTCTCTAAATAATTCAAATAATTTAAAATTATGTGTACTAGATGGGGTTTTGGAGGCTTTGGGAGCAACATGTTCAGTGTAAAATGTTAGGGAGGGAACATTGAAGTTCTACCCCTTAACTACTGGAAATAATGCTTAGCCTACAGCTTCAGAACTCTCACCAGGCTTTGTCCACATTTTGAAGGGTTTTTAAAATATTCTTAATGTCTTAAAACTTACTTTTTAAAAAGGCAAAAAGAGAGCCCATATTGTTGGTTTAATTTTGTGTCCGGTGCTAATTGATGGGAACATGAATTAGGATTGTGAAATTTACATAATCCTACCTGTAGGTTTGTGCAGGAAAAAATTACTCTTTCATTTCTTCAGGTTAATTACTTTGATTATTATTTTTTTAAAGGATCAAGCAGATGGGCAGTTGATTTTGATAATTCAGTTGTTCACAACAGCAAAATTGATTCCTCCAGAACAACAGTTTTGAAATTTTGTTCCACAATGTGTATATGTGTTTACATAGGTGTGAAGGAGAACAGGCTGTCAGCAGAAAGCAGTTTGTATTATGACTATCAGATTCGCGGAATATTTCTGAGCCTGATGTATTGTAACACAACAGCTGTCATAGACTTGAAAGATTTCCTGCCAGCTTATGCATATCAGATGCAGGCAAGGAGCAGTAAGCTTGTGTTCAAAAAGTGTTAAATGCTCACTCCCCTATGAACAATTTGATTGCTTTCTTCATTTGACGCATACTTACTGAGCATTAGTGATATTAATAAATGCCATACTGAGGCAAGGAAGAAGGGCTACCCCTACTTGCTTCAATACCTCTTTCTGGGATCAGCTACTTAAAGAATTTGAAGTATCTTACATGCAGTGTCTCTGCAAGGATCTCTCCCTCTCCCTCTTTCCTTCCTTCCCTCTCTCCAAAAAAATCATGGCCCTAAATTCTACACTTTGCATTCTCCCTACTTTAGGTCTGGAATATGCATGTTGACTGATGGAGAATTTTTTGTCTTAAATTTTTTTTATTCATTTAACTGATCAGTTCATTCACATAATAGAATGTGAGTGACTTTTTGACTTGCACAAAATTATTGCTGTTATTGGTGTTAGATGATATAGTTGATACATTGCATTTCTGTTGGACTTACTGGAAAACAAGCTGAAGTTTAGTGTTTTCACATTTCCTTATCACCCTTTTGCACTTCTCACTGCTAATTCTGCTATGGGTGTCCAAGTACAAAATATGGGCACTGTTCATTAGACTATAAACCATGTGTATAATTAAAGTCCTGCTTTTATTTGTCAAGAAGTGTCAACTAGGAAAGTTCTGTTTCTTTGTATTTTGCATAGACAGGCAGCAGTTTAAAGGTGTGCACTGTTATTGACTGAATTGTACATATTTTGTAAATGAATATATTGGAGAATTCCTGACTTTCCATATGCAAGTTGATTTGTGTTAAACAAAATGGTATGTGATGTTAACCATAGTTCTTCAGTTTGCACAAAGTGTAGTTATGGTAAGTCGAAGCAAAAGTTCTAAACTCTTCCAGAGTGTGTGACCTTGAGGCTTACTTATACTCTTATGTCACACTAAACTGTGTTTTTAGCATGGCGTGGGCATCTTCCCTGTGGGCTAGCCCTCATAAAAGTAGCTACCTATAGGGATCCTAAGTTACATTAAGGCTAATGTTGAGGGTTGAATACAAGTGCCAGTTTAAGAGTGTTATCTTAGTGCCCCAGAATGTCTACATTCTGGCATTATGAGCAATGAGTAAACGAAACTCCGAGTAACATATGCTTTCAGGTTATTTCTGAGGTTTTTAAACATTTTTAAACATCTTGGACAAAAAAGTAAGGATCACCCTCATGCTAATGGCAATTCACTGCCTTCTGCTTGCTGTTTTCTTATTTTGAGGTCAAAAATAGCTTGGAGTTATTCATTAACTTGGACTGCTTCATTAAGAAATTCCGAACAGGAATCTACTTGGTTGAATGGCCCTAGGTGCCTCACATTGCAGGAGGAAAGGTGCTACATAAATGTAACAAATAAATTATTTTCACTGATCTATTTACAAAATGGCAACTTCTGTGTAGCTTGAATATAGGACATGGTGATGGGAGCAAGTATTTGTAGGATTGCAGCTTGAATTCTTAATAGTTGATTTTTAGGGTTACTTTTTTGTAGATTTTGACTTTCTAAACATTCACATAAATTTGGGAGAAGAGGAAAATGAATATTGGGTTGTTTCTAAGTTCTGTAGCTAATCTACTTCACAGTGTCCCCAATGAAAGATTTTATCCTCACTTACTATTTGCAATCATTTGGTTTATTTAGACATTCAGCACTTCTTCTTCTTCTTCTTCTTCTTCTTCTTCTTCTTCTTCTTCTTCTTCTTCTTCTTCTTCTAGTTTCCATACTCTGCTAGGTCTTGCTTTCACTCCCAGTTTGTTTAATCTCAACAGTTAGCTTCTGACATGGCTTTGGTAAAGACCAGTGTGCTGTTTTTTTACTCCTTAGGGAAAGCACTCCTGGTAACTAATTTTCAAAGTCACGATCTATTTAACTCAGGGAAATAAAAACAACCTTAAGTAGAAGTGGGGATTTGGTTATGGAACAAAACCAACATGAATATATTATAAGACAGCTGTGTTGGAGTCAAGCCACGCAAAGGTTGCTAATGCTAAATGACTTAAATGTTTCAGTGAGGCCCCAAATGGAGATTGTGAAAAAGCACTTCCATGCGGCAGTGCTCAATGTTGTTTGAAAGTGTCTTCTAGTTGGTATTATTAGTGCAATTGTATTCAGTGTTTCCATGTCATCCCTGATGACTTGAATGACTGTAATGTCACATGTGTGAATGCAGGATTTTCGTGCTAGCACCAGCCACCAAGTACAGCAGACGTTACTGGACTTAATTTGGCTAAATTGCATATGGAGGGACCTTAACATCACAATTCTGATAGAAAGTACTTCTCTGTGGCACTGTTCAAGCTAATGGCCTCCACAACAAGAATGTACCATGTTTCAGTCAGCACTCTGATACATATCTTCATCAAAATCTGTAAATGCACCTGTCTTTAAATTAAGGGAAGGATAAGGGACGCGGGTGGTGCTGTGGGTTAAACCACAGAGCCTAGGACTTGCCGATCAGAAGGTCGGCGGTTTGAATCCCCACGACGGGGTGAGCTCCCTTGGCCAATAAAGCGAGATGAGCACTGCAACCCCAGAGTCGACCACGACTGGACCTAATGGTCAGGGGTCCCTTTACCTTTTAAGGGAATGCTTAGAAATTAAAGCACAAGGATTCAGACCGCTAGGTGTTTGTAGAAAGTTTGGTTGGCAGACTATTAGGTGACTAGTAAATTCATATGGAGCAAGATTCTTCAGGAAGAATTGTTAACCGTTTGGGACATTTGGAAGAACCTTTGAGCTGAAAAAAGTAGAAGTGCAAAGTGAGAAGAAAATCAACAGTGAAGGTTGTCAAAGTCTTTAAAATGCCTTATGAACTTACTGACAATTATGGTCTCTGGCTTAGTGTCTTGTGCATGCTGTCTAGGGAGGCCTGTATCAGTTTGATAAATGTTCATTCTGATTTGATATACTCTGTGAGAGTGATGGATGAATTTAAATGTGGGTGAATAGGTGGGAAATACAGCTAAATACTGCCTTGAAGTGGTGTACTCCTCTTTTCAACTACAGTTGGCAGCCTTTTTGATGATCAATGATGTTTAGAGAATACTTTCTCTGCTATTCCACAGTAGAGGACATTCTGTCCAAGTGTTTTAGCATTAGCAACTTGTTTTCTCCCTTTCTTATTTCTGGAAGTTATTTTCAGTTCCTTGCTGTTTTTGTTTGGCCTTGGGTAAATTCTCGAAGTTGACATATCTGTTAGGATTGTGCTGGTCAGCTCAAACTTGAATTGTAACACCACAATCTAGCTTTTATTTTAATCGTTTGGCTTACTTCTTTTTAATTTGAAGAATGTATATACTGCTTAATCAAAGAACCCTTAAATTATATAACAAATAAAATCTGCAAGATTTAAAGCAGATATACATAACTTCTTACATGTCCAGATAGGCTTGCTGAAACAAGTTTTTTGCAGGCTTATAAAACAACATAATGAAGGGGTCTGACTAAGGTTGATAGGCAGGGGATTCCCAGAGCATAGGTGATGTCACATTGAAAGCTCAACTTCCTGTAGATTTAGAGAAAACATTTTTACAAGAGTGCAAGTTCAGCAGATTGAAGGGATCAAGTAGACACAGGGGGCAAGGCAGTCCCTCAGGTAAACTGGTCCCAAGCTGTTAAGGACTTTATACACTAATACTAAGATCTGGAACTTGGTTTGGGGGCGAAATGGCAGTCAGTGCAGA